AGAATTCTGTTCCACTTCCCCATGGAGATAAGAGGAAATAAACAAGAACAAGAACTAGAAAGAAAGTAGCAGAAAACCCAGAGGGATGTGTATATATATGCTTGTACATGTATGTGTAGTGTGACCTAAATGTAAGTAGAAGCAGCAAGACGTACCTGAAATCTTGCATGTTTATGAGACAGAAAAAAAACACCAGCAATCCTACCATCATGTAAAACAATTACAGGTGTCTGTTTTACACTCACTTGGCAGGACGGTAGTACCTCCCTGGGCGATTGCTGTCTACCAACCTACTACCTATATGAGAGGGAAGTATGCCAGAAAATATACATGCAAGGGGGTGGGGAAGGGAATGGAGGTAGTAGTAGTATGGGCAGTTTCTTGTGCTCAGTCAATAAAATGGAAGGCATACTAGCAAAATAGTTAGTATTCGACCCATACCTGGATTGAATTAACCAATAGAATTGGCTTAAAATAGGACTCAAAGTGGGCAATATTATCAGTGTGTAACTTATGCCTAGACCACTAACTTTGTGCCTGCATAATTCCATAAGTTTTTTTTTAAATTTTGTTATCTTCAGAAAAAGTTCTCTACCATTTCAATTTTTTTTTTAAATTGTGACTGTCAAGACCTTCAATTTCAGGGATCGTGATAGTGAAAGGGTTAAATATATGCTGAATGGGTACAAGTTGGCCCTGACAAGCATTTGTCAATAGGCATATTGTAGTGTTCATGCCTGACAATATAATTATGCAGTTATATGCAGAGAAATCTAACAGGATTTCTTCCCCCTTCCTTTTGTCCATGACCACCTAGGATGCAGTGTCTGCCAAATCTCCCACCAGATTGGAAGTGGTAAATTAGGGGATTACCTCTGCTACAGTGTGGTATGTGCTGTGAGCCTTAACATTTTAAAAAATGTCCTCACACCTACCATGACTACCTCTCTTGTAAACAGAACAAGGACATATATTTGAGATGTAAACTCCTCTCAGATCAATTTTTTTTTTTTTATCACACTGGCCGATTCCCACCAAGGCAGGTTGGCCCAAAAAAGAAAAACTTTCACCATCATTCACTCCATCACTGTCTTGCCAGAAGGGTTCTTTACACTACAGTTTTTAAACTGCAACATTAACACCCCTCCTTCAGAGTGCAGGCACTGTACTTCCCATCTCCAGGACTCAAGTCCGGCCTGCCGGTTTCCCTGAACCCCTTCATATATGTTACTTTGCTCACACTCCAACAGCACGTCAAGTATTAAAAACCATTTGTCTCCATTCACTCCTATCAAACACGCTCACGCATGCCTGCTGGAAGTCCAAGCCCCTTGCACACAAAACCTCCTTTACCCCCTCCCTCCAACCTTTCCTAGGCCGACCCCTACCCCGCCTTCCTTCCACTACAGACTGATACACTCTTGAAGTCACTCTGTTTCACTCCATTCTCTCTACATGTCCGAACCACCTCAACAATCCTTCCTCAGCCCTCTGGACAACAGTTTTGGTAATCCCGCACCTCCTCCTAACTTCCAAACTATGAATTCTCTGCATTATATTCACACCACACATTGCCCTCAGACATGACATCTTCACTGCCTCCAGCCTTCTCCTCGCTGCAACATTCATCACCCATGCTTCACACCCATATAAGAGCGTTGGTAAAACTATACTCTCATACATTCCCCTCTTTGCCTCCAAGGACAAAGTTCTTTGTCTCCACAGACTCCTAAGTGCACCACTCACCCTTTTCCCCTCATCAATTCTATGATTCACCTCATCTTTCATAGACCCATCCGCTGACACGTCCACTCCCAAATATCTGAATACAATCACCTCCTCCATACTCCCTCCAATCTGATATCCAATCTTTCATCACCTAATCTTTTTGTTATCCTCATAACCTTACTCTTTCCTGTATTCACTTTTAATTTTCTTCTTGCACACCCTACCAAATTCATCCACCAATCTCTGCAACTTCTCTTCAGAATCTCCCAAGAGCACAGTGTCATCAGCAAAGAGCAACTGTGACAACTCCCACTTTATGTGTGATTCTTTATCTTTTAACTCCACGCCTCTTGCTAAGACCCTTGCATTTACTTCTCTTACAACCCCATCTATAAATATATTAAACAACCACGGTGACATCACACATCCTTGTCTAAGGCCTACTTTTACTGGGAAATAATCTCCCACTTTCCTACATACTCTAACTTGAGCCTCGCTATCCTCGTAAAAACTCTTCACTGCTTTCAGTAACCTACCTCCTACACCATACACCTGCAACATCTGCCACACTGTCCCCCTATCCACCCTGTCATATGCCTTTTCCAAATCCATAAATGCCACAAAGACCTCTTTAGCCTTATCTAAATACTGTTCACTTATATGTTTCACTGTAAACACCTGGTCCACACACCCCCTACCTTTCCTAAAGCCTCCTTGTTCATCTGCTATCCTATTCTCTGTCTTACTCTTAATTTTTTCAATAATAACTCTACCATACATTTTACCAGGTATACTCAACAGACTTATCCCCCTATAATTTTTGCACTCTCTTTTGTCCCCTTTGCCTTTATACAAAGGAACTATGCATGCTCTCTGCCAATCCCTAGGTACCTTACCCTCTTCCATACATTTATTAAATAATTGCACCAACCACTCCAAAACTATATCCCCACCTGCTTTTAACATTTCTATCTTTATCCCATCAATCCCAGCTGCCTTACCCCCTTTCATTTTACCTACTGCCTCACGAACTTCCCCCACACTCACAACTGGCTCTTCCTCACTCCTACAAGATGTTATTCCTCCTTGCCCTATACACGAAATCACAGCTTCCCTATCTTCATCAACATTTAACAATTCCTCAAAATATTCCCTCCATCTTCCCAATACCTCTAACTCTCCATTTAATAACACTCCTCTCCTATTTTTAACTGACAAATCCATTTGTTCTCTAGGCTTCCTTAACTTGTTAATCTCACTCCAAAACTTTTTCTTATTTTCAACAAAATTTGTTGATAACATCTCACTCACTCTCTCATTTGCTCTCTTTTTACATTGCTTCACCACTCTCTTAACCTCTCTCTTTTTCTCCATATACTCTTCCCTCCTTGCATCACTTCTACTTTGTAAAAATTTCTCATATGCTAACTTTTTCTTCCTTACTACTCTCTTTACATCATTCCACCAATCGCTCCTCTTCCCTCCCGCACCCACTTTCCTGTAACCACAAACCTCTACTGAACACTCTAACACTACATTTTTAAACCTACCCCATACCTCTTCGACCCCATTGCCTATGCTCTCATTAGCCCATCTATCCTCCAATAGCTGTTTATATCTTACCCTAACTGCCTTCACTTTTAGTTTATAAACCTTCACCTCTCTCTTCCCTGATGCTTCTATTCTCCTTGTATCCCATCTACCTTTTACTCTCAGTGTAGCTACAACTAGAAAGTGATCTGATATATCTGTGGCCCCTCTATAAACATGTACATCCTGAAGTCTACTCGGCAGTCTTTTATCTACCAATACATAATCCAACAAACTACTGTCATTTCGCCCTACATCATATCTTGTATACTTATTTATCCTCTTTTTCTTAAAATATGTATTACCTATAACTAAACCCCTTTCTATACAAAGTTCAAAGGGCTCCCATTATCATTTACACCTGGCACCCCAAACTTACCTACCACACCCTCTCTAAAAGTTTCTCCTACTTTAGCATTCAGGTCCCCTACCACAATTACTCTCTCACTTGATTCAAAGGCTCCTATACATTCACTTAACATCTCCCAAAATCTCTCTCTCTCCTCTGCATTCCTCTCTTCTCCAGGTGCATACACGCTTATTATGACCCACTTTTCGCATCCAACCTTTACTTTAATCCACATAATTCTTGAATTTACACATTCATATTCTCTTTTCTCCTTCCATAACTGATCCTTCAACATTACTGCTACCCCTTCCTTTGCTCTAACTCTCTCAGATACTCCAGATTTAATCCCATTTATTTCCCCCCACCGAAACTCCCCTACCCCCTTCAGCTTTGTTTCGCTTAGGGCCAGGATATCCAACTTCTTTTCATTCATAACATCAGCAATCATCTGTTTCTTGTCATCCGCACTACATCCACACACATTCAAGCATCCCAGTTTTATAAAGTTTTTCTTCTTCTCTTTTTTAGTAAATGTCTACAGGAGAAGGGGTTACTAGCCCATTGCTCCCAGCATTTTAGTCGCCTCATATGACACGCATGGCTTACGGAGGAAAGATTCTTTTCCACTTCCCCATGGACAATAGAAGAAATAAAGAAGAACAAGAGCTATTTAGAAAAAGGAGAAAAACCTAGATGTATGTATACATATATGCATGTGCGTGTCTCTGAAGTGTGACCAAAGTGTATGTAGGAGTAGCAAGATATCCCTGTTATCTAGCGTGTTTATGAGACAAAAAGAAACCAGCAAATCCTACCATCATGCAAAACAGTTACAGGTTTCTGTTTCACAGTCATCTGGCAGGACGGTAGTACTTCCCTGGGTGGTTGCTGTCTACCAACCTACTATCAATGTATCTGTTCAATTCTAAAGTTTCTTTGTATGTATTCTGTTAAACCCTGACCACTTCATTTGAAGTCAAACATAATGCATATAAGGGTTCACAGCTTTCAGCTTGTTATACCATGAGCAGGACAAACAGAATAAATCTTTTCTTAGAATAATGAACTTGTGGAACAGTTTAAACACAGTTTTTTAATTCAGGACTGCCACAGCTTAAAGTTCACCCAGAAAAGCTCGATCAGTCTGAACAGTGCAAATTCACTAGAGGGGGTAAACATGCATCATAACAACATCACGGATGAAGCAGTATGTGACATGATTAGTAAAGTACAGTAAAAAACTTATTCATATATAAATAAATTATTCTGTTATTTTTATTTTGGCTAAATGATAATTTTTTAATACAGCAACATAATTATCAATATTTTACAGATCCCCAAGTTCAGTCAGTTGTTCCATCGTGATAATAACCAGATGGACCTTCGTGATTTACAGCCAGGGCATTCTTATACTGTGGACTTAGTTTTCATCACTCATGAGAATCAAACGACTCAAGTCTCTAACACAAAACCCATAACCTTTACAACACTTCCTGAAGAAGGTACTTTAATCTTTATGTACTGTACTTCTTTTAGATTCAAATGAAAACAAAGTCCAAAAAAGTTGATTATCTGCTATACAACATAACTTTTATGTTCCTATTCTTAACTTATGAAATCATTTGTTTTAAGCTTAAATCTGCATTGTTGATATAATATACTGATAAGAATTATTTTTATTATATCATATGTGAAACTTGATAAAAAAAATTTCTTTAGATCCTTATGCATTTGAGATTGAAGTGACTGCTGGCAAAGTAGGATCCCAAACTGCAGAACTGTTTTATTCTGGAGTGCCTGAGCCTGAAGAGAAATACGTTAGTGTTTATCGTGCTGTCTACTTACGTGAGGATGAACGAGTAGATGCTGACACTTTCAAGGTTCCTAAGTCTGGTCTGGAAAGGAAGATTTTCTTAAGTGAACTGAAGCCAGATGTGGAATATCAAGTATGGTTAGAAGCCTTCCTGTCCAATGGCCGCAAGAAGAAGAGTAATGTCCTCACCATCACTACTCGAGCTGGTGAACTTCCTAAACCTGAGAGAAGTGAAGTTGGTAAGTGTTTAAATTTGTCTTAGGTATTGGTTATGCTAACTAAACATACTCGGGCATGATTTAAGGGGGGCCTTATTTATAATACATTTTTACATTGCACTTTTTAAAGGTGGTACATCCCAATAAAATAATGTATTGATTAAATTTGTAAAGAATGCAATTATATTGATATTTTCATGTACCTGTGACCTGTGAGCAGTTTTGAGGACTCTTCTACCCCTGCTGCCTAGGCAACCAGGCTGCAGGCCCACATAGCCATCACAACCTGGCTGCTCTGGCAGGATATTATAGGGAATTAATGAAATATTTAAATATAGCACAGCGCATAACTACAAGAAATATAGTAAAAATAATTCTGTATTATGGATTCAGTAGATGCAAATCATTTTGGATAAGAATTGAGAGACTTGGTAAACATTTGGATCATGCATTGTTTGTCTTCATTATGCTTAATCAGGGCAACTGCTAATTAGAGGCCATATAAATTTTGCTCCTTTTACAGGTACAACACCAGTTTTCCAGCACTCTTGGTTCCTAGGCTTTGCCGCTACAGTATATCAGTTTTCCCTGACCAACAAAAGTTGTATAATAGTAATTCAACAGTACACCTCTGATCCACCATGGTCTGCTGGAAACTTTAGTTAAACATTAGCATAAAAGAAATAAGTTTATTTACTGCTGTATTTACAAAGAATGTTACAACATAGTAAATTTTAGAATTTTACTGGAACTGCAGAGCTAATCACTAGCCATAGCTAGGGTTAATTGTTAGCAAAATATGCTAAGAATCGCAAAATCAATGGATCACCACTAACCACTGCAGTACAAACAATGTGAGCACACATTGCATACAGTGCAATCTGTGGCCGCCAGGTAAACTATTTTGACATAAAAGTTAGTCTCGAAATTTTATCTGGACTAAGAGATGTGCTGGTCAATCTGTTGCTGGTAAATTGGTGTTGTACCTGTATTATATATTGCCTGACTGTTATATGAATGAATAATTTTACTATCTAAATTATGAGCTACAGTATTACTATAACACTAGTAAATGTTAAATAAAATGTATAAAATGAAGGAATTTCAGATTTTTATTAATTTGAATGAAAAATTTAAAATAATGTAAAACGTAATATTATTATAGTACACTCCATTTTTACCAAAATGTTTAGTAACTCATTCAACATTTGTCTTGGAAAGATCCCTCAGCTAAGGATTCAGAAGATGGTGAAGGTTACTACCCAGCGTTAGTTGCCGTGGCAATCATTGCAGCTCTTGCCTGTTTGGGCTTCCTTGCTCTCCTTGTCATCCTCCTTAGAAAACAGAGCCATGCAAAAGCCCACATTAATTCCTCTAGAAACAACGGCGCGTATGACAACCCGTCATACAAGGTAGGCGACAATGTAAGTACAGAAACTAACTCGCTTTCGTATTAACCAGTACAAGTAGTTTCCTAGAGTGATTCTTCGTATGCCATAGTAGTGTTGTACTAGTTATGTAGTTATTGATCAAAGCTAAAGAAAAATCATCTCTAGAAAATAATTATTATGGACTTCCCAGTTTATTAAAACAGTATAGGTATTTATGAATAAATTGCTTAGCTTGCACATAAATTATCCTTATAAACTACAATACTTTCTTCTTACTGATTATATACAGTACCTTCAAGTTGATGAAAAAAGACATTTGCAGCATTTGGAATTTTTATTGCTGAAATACTTTGACTGCACAACAGGCTTCTTCAGGCAAATACAGGAAACAGTAGTAGTTTTGATGTTATCAGTCCATCACCCTGAAGCCTAAAGTATAGGCATGTGGCCAGACCATATATACTAGAGTAGAAGGGAGGTGAAGCAGCTGGTGTTAACATGACAGGTGAGTGTAGCCTGTGTGGGAGTAGGTCATGCTGAACAGTGGTTCAAGAAAAGAATTGCAAAATAATTCCTCTGTATCCAAATACCATTTTGTTGCCATGTCAGGCAAGTATATTACTGATAGTATATCATGTTAGTGATGGTATATAATTTATTAATATCTTTATTTCTACAAGTACATGTACAAGGTATACAGACCTAGCTGACATCAGTGACATACTATTACATAGAAAGCTGCTTGTTATGCAGAGCATTTCATGCAAATTAGGTCAATTTTGTCCCGGGATGCAACCCACACCAGGCGCCTAACACCCAGGTACCCATTTTTACTGATGGGTGAACATAGACAGGTAGTGTAAGGAAAGACGCCCAATGTTTCCACCTTTGCCAGAAATCGAACCTGGACCCTCAGCATGTGAAGCGAGAGCTTTGCCACCAGGCCACAGGAAACATATCATATTATTGATGGCATACTATCAGTAATATGATATTCGACTCTAAATCATAATAATACAATTGCAAACAAATCACACTGGCCCATGAGTTTTAGAAATCACTTGCCATGAGTTCGAGCTTCACCTGTTCTGTGATTACAATACTTGTCTAATACAGTAACACCATAGTATCTTGATACAGGGGAATCCATTTACAACTTCTTTGTTGAACCAGTGTTCAACATGATGTATTGCCACTCATGGGCAATGGTCACCTGTGATGTCAACTCCAGCTGCTTCATCTTGCCTCTACTCTGGTATATAAGGTCTGGCATAAGGGACTGATCACCTCATAATGAGGGTGATGGATTGATAATGTCAAAACTCCTACTACTGCTGTCTGTATCTGGCCATAAATGATTCCCAAATATTGCATGTGTGTCTTATTCATCTAATGTACTTTCTGTTGACTACTTAACCACCACTTTTTGTCTGGTATTGTCATTCAGTGTACTAGGAAGTTAATATAAAATCATTAATTAGAGCAGATAAAGAGGGACAAACACAGTTTATGTAGAACCTTAACTGATATTTTGCCCATATAGTGATCTTTTATCAAGTCACAAACAGATGATCCTGGTTTGAGAGGAAGAACTGGTACTGGTAATTAGTAGCAGTGAGGTGAAAAACAAGTGAGATGCATTTGTGGTCACAGAGGTGCCTGTGCTAACTTTCCTATGGTGTAGAAATATACCTAGTTGGATGAATCTTATTGTGGCTAGCTGGTCTAGTGGCTAACGCGACGGGCTGGAGTTTTGAGACTCTATGACCGCGGGTTCAATCCCGGCCGGGGGTATGGTTTATTTGCAATCGTGTCATTACGATTTCTTGAGTCAGTAATATCAGATAATATTGGTTCTCAAATATCCAAGAAAATTTCTATTTAGAGGTTCAACTAAATTGTAGAAATGTATTCTGGCTGAAATTGTTGGAGACGTTGACGAGTACACTTTCAGTGCATCCTTGATTATTTTATTTAGGGGAAAGTGCTAAATCTAAGTCGATTATACAGTGCCTATAATAATGGGAGTCAATCAGGTTTGATCCAAGGTTGGAGAGGACAGGCTTAATTACTTACATTAAGAGCCCCTCACCAGCATCAAGAAACTTCTCTTAAGGAGCATCTGCTTTGAGTGTTGTCCTCTTTGGCAGTTAGTAGTGTAGCAGTCTGATTTTTAAGTGGTTATAAGAATTACAGTGTATTATGTAAGCATTGTAAAGATCTGTTCTGCTGACTTATTGGTGTTCCAAAATGCGTTTGTAAAGGTCTCTGGATGTTTCACTTATATATACATATTTTGTCAGTGATGATTAATGTTGTACACCCCTGCAGAGATTGAGATACAGGGGTACCTCAGTATATGTCCTTAATCCATTCCAGGACCTTGGACTTATACCAAACAGGACATATACCAAAAGAATTTTCCCATTAGAAACATAGGGAAAATGATTAATCTGTTCCCATGAAAAAAAATCCTTTTGTTAATGGCATATTATACATCGATGAGGTTGTGTAAAATAATTTAAACACTGCTTAACCCTTTCAGGGTCCGTGCTGTAGACGTACAGCTTTACATTGAGGGTCCAAACCATAGATCTACGCCATGAGCTCAGCTCACTCTGATAAGCTGTGAGCGGTAAATTTGGGCCTAGATATGAGAGAATACATCTATGTGGTATGTGTGCACCACATAAAATAAATCCTGCAGCGCACAGTGCATAATGAGAAAAAATCTGAGACTAATTTTTTATTAAAACAGCGACTTTGCAGTGTTTTTTCGTATGTTTTTTTATGGTTGTATTTGCAATTTCTTGATCTCATTTGATAGAATGGAAGATATATTACAGATATATTACAAAGTAGTGGAAATGTTAAATTTTTGCCAATGTTCAAGAGTACACAAATGACCTCACACGTCTAATACATGGCAGCTGGTGGGTCTAATATATGTTCACAAATGTGCTGATATTATTTATACAATTATTACAATATTGCATAACAGTAAATCTACTTTTTGGTTTGAATAAAAATTCATTATGTGAATTAAAAATCAAAATGGAATTCATTTGTAAAGCCTGAAAACGTAACTAATGAACAGAGAAAATGTTAGTTTAGTCCCAGGAATGCCTGCATTGTTTATTCTGGACCCTATTTTGAAATTGGAATATTTTGAACTTTGTATTAAATTAGCCAAATTACCAATTTCCAATCACTTTATTTTGTAGTTGAAACAGTTGACTTGGTGATTTCGTGTGCACAATCGATAGAATAGAAGTAATACTAGTGAAATAGCTAAGAATTTGGTTGACTGGAATAATGTAATTGGCCTAAAATGGGAGTCAAAGTTGGCAAAATCGCCGATGCGTAAATATCGCTGACACGTCAAAATTCGCGAGAGCATAATTTCGTCAATTTTCCATCAAATTTCGTACTATTTGTTTTATTACCTTCAGAAAAATATTCTCTACCATTTCATAAGAAATACAGTGGACCCCCGCTTAACGATCCCCTCCAAATGCGACCAATTATGTAAGTGTATTTATGTAAGTGCGTTTGTACATGTATGTTTGGGGGTCTGAAATGTACTAATCTACTTCACAATATTCCTTATGGGAAAAAATTCGGTCAGTACTGGCACCTGAACATACTACTGGAATGAAAAACGTTCGTTAACCGGGGGTCCACTGTACTTGGATCCTGGTGTGCACTTTGAAATGTGGCCTCTGGACCCTGAAAGGGTTAATACTAAAATACATACATAAATACAAAAGAATTAGACGGTATAAATGCAAATTTAACCTCACTTTACTTTGCTGAAAAGTCTAGTACCTACTAGGATAGTGCTGAGAAGGGAGGAGGAGGAGGAAATGTTATTGTTTGGAAGGAAAGTCCCCTTCTCTTTTCTGTCTTTTTCCTATTTGGACCTGGTTGAAGCTTACCAGGTTTGACTTTTACTGTTTCATCACAATTAAAAACTTGTTGGGGAACAAAACCCTCAGCCACCACAAATTCCCCAAACTCTGTAACAAAATCATTGGTGGCATCTTTATCAGCACTGGCTCCCTCTCCATGCCTCACAATACTGTGAATGCCAATCCTCTTCTTAAAATTATCAAACCAGCCATGGCTGGCTTTAAACACTTCACTTTCTTGGCTCATTCCTGCCTTATTTTTCAAAAGATCGGCATGCATCAGCTTTGCCTTTTCGCAAATCATTGCCTCTGATACGCTATTCCTGGCACACAGTTTTTCTGTTATCCAGATGAAAAGCAATTTTTCAACATGCTTTAATGTCCCTGATCTTTGTTTGATAATTGGGTCTACTGACACTAGTGGGCAGTTGTGGCTTTGTCTCAAGAGAGGTAAACAAGGGTAGCGTGCAGTGTCGTGGCTCATTTTGACCAATATAAGTTCTAGCATATGAGTCGTATTTCAAACAAAGGTCATATACTAAGCAATAATTTTCACATCCAAAAAGGATGTATACCAATTTGGACTTATTTCAAAGCGGACATATGCCGAGGTACCACTGTATATGCATTAGTTGCGTTTTTGTCTGGTGGTGTCTTTGATGGTAGTACAATCTTTGAGATGTGTTTGGCAATCAAGTTATTGTTAAGGACTGTTTTTTTTTTTTTCTGCAGTATCAGGTCTGGGAAAATTGATGAAGTTTGGTGTAAAAAAAATTCAAGGAAAGAGCACCTGTCAAAAAATTCACTACTGCATATGCAGAGTTCTTAATTATTATTATTATAATCAAAAAGAAGCGCTAAGCCACAAGGGCTATACAGCGCAGAGTTCTTAAGAAATACCTGGAAGTGAATATGATAAGTGTTGGTTGGTGGGTTTCCAATAAACCTTACAGTGAAGTTTGTTGCCAGATTTGCAGAGTACAACATCTAGGAAAGGAAATGTGCCACTGGTTTTCTCAAACCTAAATTGTATTGAGGATTTGATATGGTTGAGTGCAGAAATGAAGTAAAATAAAAAAAGCTGATAAAAAAAACACTATGGCAGAATTGAAGGTGTTCATGCTCCCAGTCTTTTATATTTGGTTGAATCTACTTTGGAGAATGGAGACTTCAAATCTTGTTATAATGATGAATATGTCATCCACACAGTGAAGCCAAGTAATGGAAGAGGGGATGATGGAGGAGAAACTTTCTGCTTTTAGATGTACCATATAGTTTGACTGCACTCACAGTAAAGAAAGACTTAACCCTCCCCAACAACTCTATTGCCAAACACATTTCAAACATTCTCAGACTGAAAACTCAACATAATCATTACCTCTATTACCATTAAATACATCGCCAGATAGAGCCACCACCAACATAATTCAACTTCTGCAGCACTGTACATCATCCCAAGTATCAAAATCTACATAGGTGATAAAATCTATGTAGTGGGTAATAGATTAAGGGAAATTGTGGATATGGGAAATTAGTGCATTGGAATTAGGTTTCCCTTGTTTAGTGAAGATCTGCTATTACATGATCAGTACAATGCGAGTTACCCATTAAAAATTCTTATAAGGAATTAAGTGTTAATGGCCTGATTAAGTTTAGTACAGTAGCCAAAGGCCTGGAATGCATATACTGTACAGGAAAGTAAGACAGGAGAATATGTGCAGAGGTAGGGAAAGAGAGTTGTATTTGGGAGATTTGGAATGGCGGGTTCACTTTTGTAAGAGGAGTAAATGAGAACATTTGCTGAGGGTGATTAGAATGGGAATGTTATGAGAGTAGGTAGGAGGTATCTTGTGATAAGTGATGGGAAAGAGCATTCATGACAAAGGCTGTGCTATATATGGTGTTAAATCTTTTATACTAAAATGCTTGGAGGTATGTAATTGAAAGATTGCTAAAAGCATAAGCCATGACATCTATAATAAATATTGTATATTATAATAGTACAGACTAGGATATGACAATAATCAGAACAAAATAATTAAGCTCATTTAAAGAAATGTTTCCTTTTCTTGCTCTTTTAATTTCCTTGTATTTACCATTTTTTTTATATTCACCTAATTATCTGATTTGCATTCACATACTATACTATTCAGATTTAATTGCATTTGCTTATATGTATCTACCTCTTCTTGCTTTTTGTAAGACTATTTTTTATATTTTCTTTTTTACCATATTCAAGTAACTTTTTTTTTTTTTTCGGATTAATGTTAATGTTGCAGTTTAAAAACTGTAGTGTAAAGCACCCTTCTGGCAAGACAGTGATGGAGTGAATGATGGTGAAAGTTTTTCTTTTTCGGGCCACCCTGCCTTGGTGGGAATCGGCCAGTGTGATAATAAAAAAAAAAAAAAGATTGATAGTGTTATGTACCCTATTATCACTGGGTGATAATTAAAAAAAATTACACACTGCTCTTTGACTAAGGGTTACAATGGCTATTATCATCATTATGTTTATCATTATTACTGCTACAATTAAAGAAATGGCTAAACCTGTGTGGGTTATTCAGTGTTATTGACAGTTCCTTGCAACAGACAATGTTAGGATTCTTGTTAACACATGGTTAGCAATATTTGGCAAATAATTTTACCATTTTACTTTGATTTTCAGACATATGATATGGAAATGAATGGAATCAAAGGAAGTGGGAACGGTGCCACACATTCCGAGGAACCTTAGTCCATGCTCACAATTAGGCCAAGCTTTTCATCTATAACTTGTTTTCATTTGTCTTCCCCTTCTCAGTTTGTATGTTTGTGATGTCTCATTTTAGAGAATAATATTGTTTTTATATCCTTTATCAAGTGCTGATATCCAGCAATAGTGTAAAAAATGCTTCCTTCAATATTACAAATGTAAATATTTGCATAAAATAAGCCCAATAACTGTACAATTGTTAAAAGTTGAGACCTGAGCAGTCATAATGTTTTGATTAGCTTCTTTGTTTTAACTAATTAACTTTATTAGAAAGTTTACAAACAGTGCTGGATAATATACTACTCAGGTGTTCAATATTACTTGCAATGGTTACCAGTATGGGTTTTAGTGTAACATACGCCAGTCTCAACTTTCTACATTTCTTCTCATTCTGTCCCTTAATGTTATGGTGTTATAATAACCAAGTTATAGCTTAATACTAACTTCTGCTTCAGTCAGTTATCTTTGTGTATTTATAGGTATTTATAGTCTCCCCCTCAGAATAGATACGTGATGCAGAGGACGAAACTGGTGCTCTGTGCCTAATTTGGTTGTGCCTTTTGAAGCAAGTGTTGTACTTAATTGTGCCATTATTGTACTCTAGCACAGATGGAAATTGTACAATGGGAAATTATACTACTGTACAGTGTTCAAAAAAAAAAAAAAAAAAGGAATTGGTAATGTCCATATCCTCTGTGTGTTATTGGAGATTTGCAGTACTTTGAACCCAAGAGCAAATAAGTTATGTACGTGCAATGATGACTTGCAAATGTCCATACTACAAAGTTCTGTACTCCTCCAGAGTTAAAAATGTGTAGTCAAGCATGCATCTTGAGTTTTCCTAAAAAGAAAAAGAATCAGTATCTTCTGAAGCTTAACTAAAATAGGGGTTTTGAAAGGTCATAAATAACTTTTTTACAAAAACTGATATAAAGTTTTGAATAAGTTTTGGAATTCTTAGGTGCTGCAATATGTAACATTAGCTCTGGTGGATTGATTCCTATAGTACTGTACTGTGAAAAAACTACTGAGTATGTGATAAGATACTTGATGTTTCCTTACATAGTCTAAGTGGTATCACTTAAGCAATATGAAACATTTGTGATTTGCATTTTTATACTTTGTTTTGTAACATCTATTCTTCATAATACAAGTTATTCACTTTTTGCCACAGCTGATAAGATTTCTAAATATGACTGTTAATTAGTTGGATAATAACTATAATGTCTATAAGTATTGCTGTGTAGAGTATTGAGAGTACATGTACTGTACATATTACTACTGTACTGTAGTACCTTGTGTCACAAATCACTCATTTAAGCATTTGCCTAAATTAAAATTTAGGGGAATTATTGTACAGTTTAGAAACAAATTTGTGTATTTTGATTACCTCTACAGTATATTGCTTTTGTTTTTATTATAAATTTTTATATATTTCCGAATTGTAAATTATTGCTTGTTTGAATGGTGAAATTCCAATCAATTCAGGCTGACATGTTAACATTGGTGTAGCCTGCGTGTACAGATATAGTTGTAAAAATCCTGTGCAGACATGCACATTAAACTACTCCCAAGAATTTATTGTCTTATTTTGTCCTATTTTCACCATCCTCATTTTACTGATGACTATGAATTAATCTTGCATGACAAAATTAAAGTGCAGTACACATTTTAATTGAATGTACTGTATATAGTTTTCAAAATTTCTCACTATTTTTTTTGCTGTAAAGCTAATTATAAATCATATTTGGAATATTTATTTATGAATTACTTACTGGATACATCATTTTTTATTCATTATTGTTATAAGAACATAAGAGGGTGATGTGTTGAAACATCTGCAGAAAGAAAGTTTATTTAGGCAAGCAAAAAAGGAAATTTACCAGAATAGTGGTACCAGTACGCACACGGTGTGAGGCATGGGTTTCGAACATTGCAACAAGGATGCTAGAGGCAGTGAAGATATCATGTTTAAGCCTTTCACTGTTCAGACCCCAGATCTGAAACTTTTTTTCAGTGTCCAAAAATTTCTCTCAATTACCCCCTCCTTAAAAAAAAAAAAAAAATCTTATGAAATGGTATAGATTTTTTTTTTCCAAAGGTAATGACACCAAAAGTATGAAATCTGATGGTAAAACATACAGAATTACACTGGGACAAAGTTAGCAGTCTCAGCGCAATTTATGGACCTGTGATGTTTGCCTACTTTGAGTCTTACTTTAGGACAATTCCATTCTTCCAGTTTACTAAATTCTTAGCTGTTTTGCTAGTATGCCTTCCATTCTATCAACTGAACACACAAAATCTATTCACCTATTTCAACTACCTAATAAAGTGATCAGAATTCGATAATTTGGCCAATTTCACACGAAATTAAAAAAAATGCCAATTTAATAAACAATGTAGACATTCCTGGAATTAAAACAATATTTCCTCTGTTCATCAGTCACCTTCCCAGGTCTCTCCTTATATTTGCTTTCCAGTTTGAATTCTTATTCACAAAAAATAGATTTACTCTTTCTTGGATAATATATACAACCAGGAAAGATTATTCATGGTTTACAGAATCCCAGTAATTGAATCAGACCTATTAAAAACCCATAAAACAGACTAGGAGCTGTAGTGAGAAGCTTACCCATCCTCTGGAATATCAACAAAAATCTATCTATATTTTCACTACTTGGAACTCAACTTCAAGCTACTTCCAGTCCTGAAACCAATCAAAATCATCTCTATTTTAGTACTATTTCTTCCATTCTATTAAGTGATATCAAGAAACTGTCAATAAAACCACAAAAACTTCGAAAAATATACTGCAAAGTTGCTATTTTAAACCATTCACATTGTTAGTTTTGTTTTTCCCCATCTTGCACCACATGGGGCAGGATCTTATTTATGTGGTGCACACTCACTGCACAGATCCATTCTCTCATCTATGCCAAAATTTACTGCTCTTAGCTTATCTGAGTGAGCTGAGATTGTAACGAAGACCTACACGACAGATCCTTAGCTCTTAAGCTGTGGTACCACAAAACAGCCAGTGAAAAGGTTAATATTAATATTGTATGAGGTGTGAATATTATGTAGAGGATGCAAAGCGTAGAAATTAAAAGATGATGTGGGTCACCAAGGGTATAATTTAAGGCTGAAGAGAGGGTTGTCAAGGTGGTTTGGGCATTTAGAGATGTTGGAGAGGGATAGGATGATAAAGAGTGTGTATAAGTATGGGGTAGAAAGAAGGTAGAAGTAGGTCATTCCAGGTATGGTTGGAGGGAATAAAAGAGGCTTTGAGCATTCAGCAGGCTTGCATGTACATAATAGATAGGAGTGAACGGGGATGTACTGTTGGAGTGTGAGCAAAGTAACATTTACAAAAGGATTCAGGGGAAATTAGTTAGCTGGCACTGCCCTTCCCATCTCCAGAACTTGAGTCCTTGACATGGGAAGGTTAAGTACAGTGGTACCTCGGGATACGAACTTAATTTGTTTCAGAAAGCTGTTCGAGTGCCGATATTGAATGAATTTCCCATAAGGAATAATGTAAATTAGATTAATCCGTTTCAGACCCCCAAAAATACACTTAAAAAAGCACTTACATAAATACACTTGCATAATTGTTCGAGTTTAGAGCTGTTCGTATCCCGAGGTACCACTGTGTCCCTTATCCAAAATGTTTGGGGCCAGAAGTGTTTTGGATTTTGTAATTTTTCAGATTTTGTTCCTCTTCAAGGGGGGCTCCTTGGCGTGGTGAAGAGGCTCTTGGTCTGAGGAATTAGACCTGTCGGTCTCCTTCCTCAGACCGAACCTAATTACCCCCCAATCCCCCCTTCCCTATCCCATCCTCCCCTTTTTCCTTTCCTCCTCCTCCCCCCCAACCCTCCCTTTTGCCCTTCCTCTTTTTGGCCTTTGGGATTTTTCCCACAGGCACACTAGTTCATAGGTAGGGGGAAGGGTACCGGGGTCCATCCCATTCCGTTGAGGTTCTTGGCGGTGGCGTAGTTTGCCGTGGGATCTGGATTGCCTAGGGATGTCCCGATCCCTCTCCGGTATCCCGGAGGGTGGCTTTGGGTGTCTTTCGGGCGACGGGTGTATCTCTGGAAGCCACCTTTCGGATTCCGGGGGTGGTGGCCAAAGGAGGTATGCTTTGTGGCGGATATCCGGCCGCCCTCTCTTGTCCACCGAGGCAGCTCGGCAGATGTAAGGTTGCTATCCCGGATTGCTGGTTTACTGGCATGATGGGTAGGGTATGGCATGGGTTCCATGCTGCATCTGCGCTACTTGCGGTGCTGAGGTCCTCTTGGGTGCGGAGGGAGATTTCTGGCCCTTTCATTCCTCCTAGGAACTATCCCTCCCCGGTCCCCCCTTTTTTTATTCTTTTTTTATTTTTATTTTCTTTTCTTCTTTCTTTTTTTTTTCTTAAAAACAAAAAGAAAGAAGTAACCTAACCATGGAGTCCCAAATCCATGACCCCGCTACCCCCAGGCCCCTTATTGTTACCGCACCCTGTTCTGACCTCGCCTCGTCTTTTGGCCGCTCTTTGGACACTCCTAATGCCCCTGTACCTCTTGCCGGTGCTGTTTCCTCACCCGCTTCAGGTACCGGGGCTTCCACTGACTCCTTCGATTTGTCTGACCTCTGCTCTCCTTTGACTATGCTTCCGGCCTCTCCTTCTATGGTGTGACGATTTTCGAATCGCCAGCCCGTCTCACGTCGGACCGACTCTGGTCCCACTTCTAAACGCCAACGACAATCTCCTGACGATGTTACTTCGTTACCTTCCCATTCTACTTGGAGAAGACCGACATATCATGCACTCCTTCTCCACACTCAGTTTCGGGCCACACAATGGACTAAATTCTTTACTTTATGACCGACTTCTTCTACTGCCTATCTTTCTGACCATAGCATTGGCAAAGCGCTCCTACGCCATGTTGGTAGAGATATTTCCTTTCATGCTCTTAAGAGTGGTACATGCATCATCACAGTCCAGAATTCTACCCAAGCTCATGATCTTTCTCTTTCACATATCAATACTATTCCTATCACTATCGAAAAACATCATTCCCTCAATTCTTGTAGTGGTACTGTTATTCTGCCCCATACCATAGTCCAACAGAATTTCCAGACATGTGGCAATGACATTCTCGAACAGCTGGAACTCCAAGATCTCAAGGCAGACACTTATGTTCTTCCCGCCCGCGGGCGAAGACGATACCCTTGCAATGTGGCTTGTTTAACTTTTGACAGCCATGAACTCCCATTCTCTGTTTATGTAGCAGGACATTGGTTACAAGTTCGGAAGGTGATCCCTACACCGCAACAGTGTAGGAATTGATGGTGATTTGGTCATCCAGCAAAATATTGCAGTTCTATAGCCGAATGCCCAGTCCGTGGTGCTGATGACCATTCTAATACATCTTGCAGTCGACCTCCCTCTTGCCTTAATTGTCATGAGGCTCACCCTTCGTATTCTCGCCGTTGCCAGGTCTACTTAAATGAGCGGGAAATTCGTTGCCTCAAAGAGGCAGAAGGTCTCCCTTATGCTATGGCAGTTTCTCATCTCCGCCTCCAAGGAAGACTACCCCGTGTTTCTTATTCTCGTGTTTCAAAATGTCCCTCCACTTCTGGGGTCCCATCTTCTGCAGCCTCCTCTGCGGTTGCCAGTCCCATAGTCACTCCTGTATCTAATTCTTTTGCTGTCCTGGGCTCAGACGTCCCTACTTCAACACCTCAGTCTGTCCTCACTTATTCGTGTTCCCCCTCACAAACCCCGGTATCGACAAGACCTCGTACGACACCTCCTCCCAATCGTCCCTCTACTTCTCAGAGGTCCAACAAATCTCCTTTAACCCCTCCTTCCCTTCATCCACCTCCACATTTTACCTTCCTGGTCTCTGTACCTAGGTCTTCCCCTTTCACTGGCTCCGTTACAACAAGTGTGGAGGTTCATCCTCCTCCTCGTACTGTGCCTTCCTCCCCTGTCCCCTCCTAAGTTTCTTCCTTTTCTGCCACCTCCCAGGTTTCTGCCTCTTCTGTCCCCTCCCACACTTCTCCAGTTCCCTCCACCTTTTCGCCCCCCCCCCTCTACCTTGGTAGTCCATTACAGCTCCGATCTTTACTCAAACTCCTCCTCCTTCCATCTCCAATATTGTCTCCCATACGACATCTCTGAACTCCGAAACACTTGAAGTAATCTCTGAATATATTGCAGAGACCAAACCATCAATGGACACTGATCCACCCTCTGTTCCTTCTCTTTCCTCTTCTCCATCTGCGCAACTCCTTTCTTCACAACGCACCGTTCCTTCGCTACTTGAATGCTTTCCTTTGCCACCGCATGTGGACTTTTCTAACCCTTCTAGTCCATAGGTACCCTTACCTGCGGATTTCAGGTATCTTTATCGTTGCCAATCATGGCCTATTTACAGTGGAATATTCGCGGCCTCAGGGGTAATCAGGGTGAGCTTCAGATGTTGCTCTCCCAGTTTTCCCCTGTTGGTGTTTGCTTACAGGAACCAAAATTACACTCTGCCGTTATCTATCCCATCTCAGGCTATAATTTATTGTATTCTTCAGA